GTTTGAGGAAAGAAAAGCTTTGGAACAGCAGCTGTGGAAAGTGAGAGTCCAACCCACTCATTTTATAATTGAGAAGATTGAAGTTCAGAGAGGTTATACAACATCCATTGAATCATTCAGCTAGTAAGTGCCTGAGATGGACAGGTCTTCTTGACTCAAGTCAAGTCAAGGAGCATTAATCAAGTTCCTACTATGTGACAGGCACTGTGCTAAGCCCTGGAGATAACAGGAGTTTGCTTGTTCTTATCTGTGGCATTGTAGAATACTTCAAAGGAACCTATTAATATTTTGAATGGAATCTGAGTATTTCCTTGAATTCACTGAATTAACTCTGTTAGAAATGCAGAAATTGAACCATGAACAGGCTCATTTCATTGTGGCTGCAGTTTGATTAGAAATCAGAACCTGGGTATTCCTAGGAGACTATTGTGACTGTTCCATCAATAGACTTGTGTACAGTATCTTAATGAAGGATTTGACTGATGAACTTGCCCTAGTGGGTATCATAGAAGATAAACTAAGGGAGAGATGATGGATCTCCAACATGGCAGCCTTTTCTTCAGAACACCATAGATTGTCTCTGACAAAGGTTAAAAAAAATTTTTTTATTGAATTTTACTTTTTTCAATTATGAAGTTTTTTGGGTTTTTTCTTCTATGAGATGTTGAAGAAGGACTAGTACCTCTAGTGTCAGGGCTTGTGGAGTCCTCTTCAGGGCCACTCATCCACCCTTGGTGTCCACCTTCACCCAACTCTCACCTGTGGCTCTAAGAAGCTATAGTCTAGACCCTGGTAAAATCATCTCAGCAGATGGCTAAACCAGGTTATGGGTAACTGACAGGCCTTAGGTCCATCAGTGAATGAATGTGAGTGTGTGGGGGGGTGTCTACCTCAAGCATGTGAAGACTCCTGGCAGAATGGGCAGATATTCCTATGGCCATGAAAGAGGCTGAAGCAGGCACTGTGGAAAGCTTAGAACTTGTTCAGACATCAAAGACACTGCATCTCTGGCCCTCCCCAATAGTCTTGACTTTTGTCTTGCCGGTTGGACTTTAATGACTGGAAGTGAGAATGAGGCTGACGGCTTTTGTGCCTCACTTAAATCCAATGCATACATATGATTCGAGTGGTCCTCTTGGAAAATGAAGGACCAATAAGAACAACAAAAACAAACTCTAAGAGCAGCTAGGTGGTGCAGTGGATAGAACTCTGGCCTTGGAGCCAGGAGGACCTGAGTTTAAATCCAGCTTCAGACACTTAACACTTACTAGCTGTGACCCTGGGCCATTCACTTAACCCTGATTGCCTCACCAAAAAAACAAAAACAAAAAACCAAAAAAACTGAGGCTTCAACTAGGCACTGGTGGGGGTGAGGTGGGGAGGGGCATAATCACATTAGCCTCTGCCCCAGCTGGTAGAACCAGGGCTAGGAGCCAGGCCTTCTGCTTCCCAGTCTAAGCAGCATACTCAGATTTTCAAGAAATCTGCGAAAGCTGACACCTTGTCTCCTAGCAGTAGTGCTTAGAGGGAACATGGCCCCAGATCCCTTTCCTGACCTCTACATACAAAAGGCCAGAAAGCTACTACTTTTCCCCTTGGCATTTGGATCTGAAGAGGTAACTAAGAGAATGCTTCATGTTTCCCAGGCAGAAATTGAGAACTCAGGGGATGTGAAAAATGCCCTCCTCTCCAGCTGCACTCTCTGAAGTTTGTCTAACATTGGGGAGGAATGAACTCCTGGCTCAAGAACCAGCACTGCTCCATTCAGGCCTGGCTCTTGACTCAGCTCCCTATCCTGACGGCTGAAAAGGGTTGGGCTTCCCTTAGGTATGGCCCTGAGAGGGAAGGGAAGAGGGTCCAACCCTGTGTCCACCACACCTTGCATAAAAGGTGATTATTATTCCCACTACTTCTTTATCCAGTAGTCATCTTTGAAGAACTGTGTTAAAAGTACATTTCCTTTGATTACATGGTCTTTGGCTACCCAGGCTAAGACATTTGTCAACCAGCTGTTTTAACTCTGTCTTAGAAGCTAGAAAGATTGAGCTACAGATATCTAAGGATAAGTCTGTCTGTGCTATTAGTCCCAATTCTAAATTGTGAATGTCATTATCACTTTCTTCTTGAAGGTGTCACTGAGGAAAATCAAAGTGTTACATGGTTATATACTATATTTATATTAATAGCAATAGTTAGCCTTTATATACTGTTTTAAGGTTTATAAAACCATTTACAAATATGATCCTATTTGGTTTGCCTTCTCTGCACCTAGTACACTATGTGGCATTTAGTAGGTGCTTAATAAATGATTGTTAAATGAATTGATCACCCTGAGCGTCAGCATCCCCATTAATGAATGCATGAAATAGCATTAGTAAATGCATTCTAAAGGTCATTTCACAGCTCATCTGTGAAATGTAAAAAATAATACTTGCATGACCTCTTTTATAGTCAGGCATTCTTAACCTGAGGGCCAGAAAGCCCTAGACTTCATGGGGAGGGATGAACCTGCAGGGTGGAAAAATGTACCTTTATTTTCACTAACCTCTAACAAAAATTTTAATTCAATTATGAGTATAGGCAATAAACATTCTGAGAAGGGGTCCATAGGCTTCTCCAGAACAAAGGGGTCTATGACACATAGGAAAAGTTAAGAACTCTTGCTCCCAGGGTTGTTTGGGTGATTAAACAGAATAGTGCCATCGCTTAGTCCAATGCCTTCCTTTTACAGATATGGAAACTGAAGCCTCCCCAAAACTGAGTGACTTGTCCAAGGTCATACAAGTATTAAGTGACATTGCCGGCAGCCACCTTAAAGTATATGAAAACACTTTGTAAAATGTAAGCACTAACCAAGTGAAGTAACTTTGTTATAACTGCACACAAATCTGTTGGAAATGCATTGTAAATTGGCTGGTATTCAGAGATTGTTTGCATTAAAAGGCTTGTGAGTGCTCCGGTAAAATTCTAGATACCAAGTATCTATTTGCAAGTGAATTGCTTTGTTGCAGTGGTTAAGAAAGCCTGATCCTAAGTGCATTTAAATCCCCACCCCCACTAATAGGGTTTTTTTTGTTGTTTTTTTTAGAAAACCATTTTCCTTTAAAGTGCTCATAAAATTACTCTGCTCTAAATTAAACTCACTGAAATTGTTCCATAACGTTTCTAGATCACCCTTTGGCAGAACATCATTTTGTCTTGTTACCTAAAATTCATAGATTTTGAACTGCAATAAAGAGACCATCTAATATTCTAATCCAACCATTCAGATCTCAGTTTGCAGATGATTCTGGCTTTTAAAGTCTTCCTGGGTCTGGCTCCCACCTATCTTTCCATTCTTAATTCTGATTACAGTACTTCACTGCACACATCCTCTGTTCAGTCCAACAGGCACATTAGTTTTTCCCTGTACGGGCTGCTCCATCTTCCCCTTGGCATCTACCCCCCCCCCATTGTCTGGAATACATTCCCTTTTCACCTCCCACCGGGAAGAATTCCTTGCTTCCCGGCACTAGTGGCTTTTTCTGATCACGCCCTCCCCCTAGTACTAGTACACCCCCTGTCTTGAAATTATATTGCACATATTTGCTGAACTCAGTCAATAGAATGTATGCTCCTTGAGGGCAGAGATCGATTTTTTTTTGTTTGTTTGTTTTTGGTCTTTGTATCCCAGGAGTGCTTATACCAGGCCCTTGCCCGTACTAGGCAATTAATAAATGTTCACAAATGGAACTACCATTAAAGGTAGATTTAAGCTTTTTTCATACCTGCTTATTATTTTCGGGGCACTGTTCCAGGAGTTGGGAATAATACCAAGACTGAAACAAAACAGTCTCTACGATCTACTTGGGGAATCAACATGTAAAAGATAAAATACAAAATATACTCAAACTTGGGAGCAGCTAAATCTGGCCTCAGACACTTACTAGTTGTGTGACCCTGGGCAAGTCACTTAACCCTGTTTACTTCTGTTTACAAACTCTGTAAAATAAGCTGAAGGATATGGCAAACCATTCCAGCATTTTTACTAAAAAAACCCCAACACCCCCCACCAAAAAAAAAAACCAAATGAAGTCAGAGTCAGACAGGACTGAACCACAATGTAACTCAAAATTCCCCGAGATTTGTTCCATGTTCCATCCTCCATTTACGTTGTTTGAACGTAGTTTGTACACTGATTTCCCCCATTAGGTCCTGAGTTCTTTGAGAGTAATGGCTTTGACAGTATTGACCTTTCTTCGCATTCCCTGCCCTTGGCCCATTGCCTGGCACGCAGTAAACACAAAATTAATACCTGTTGACTTGAAAAGCTCAAATGGAGGAGTGATTTCCTTTGCATTTGTATGTTGTGTCTCTTATGTTTGACAGCACCTCCAGACTGGTATTTGCATGTATACATATTCGTATATGTATGTATAGATACGTATATGTACACACACATATACCCAAGTGACTTATAGACGTACACACAAAATACAAAGTAAATACGAAGTGCCAGGGTGGAGTACTGCAATTTATAGGGCCGGGTACATTGACGGTGGAGGAAATTAAAATGGTGAGTTCTGCTTCTGCAGAATTAGACATACTCAGTGATAATAGCTCACATTTCTATAGTCTAAGGTTTGTAAATCACTTTACAGAGATTATCAACTTGGTAGAACAGTTTTACAGTACCCCAAGTGATGCGCTTTTTCCCAGACAGTTGAGGATTTCTGTCTTCGCTACCGTGCACTTTCTACAGTTTAGCCCAGGAAAGGGAGCCGAACAATAGGCAGAGGGAACCCGCACAGACCAGAGCGATTTTAAACCCCCTCTATCCTAGCACACCCCCTCCGGAGCTCCACACAACGGGTTCATCCAACCCCCAATCCGAGGAAGGAGCGAGACCCTCACGCTCCACCCGCCAGGGCCAATCGCGAGCGGCTGGATTGAGTCACTCTCTCAGGAATTACTAGGAGCGGGACCCGCCTCTCCACGTGGTTCCATTGAGAAGGCAACAAAGCCCTATTCGCTGTGTGTTTACAACAATCTGCCGGGGGTGGGAGAGTCCAACCAGCTCGGGGGAGGTGAGGGGAAGATGCTTAGGCGTTCATTCCTCCGAAAAGACTGCCAACCAGCCAGTCCCTCTAGTCGTTTTCTTTGCAGACCCCCCACCTGCTGGAACACTTAGGGAAGGACCCGGGAGACTCTGGACTAGAGGTGAGTAGGATTCTTCTTTTGAACTTTCTTCTGTAACGCCGCTGCCCAGCCCCCGCCCCTCTCTCCTTCCCCTCCCTTCGCCGCGGGGAGGGCCCGGTAACTTGTTCGCGTGAATGATTGCCTAGCTGGTGAGCCGAGCTGGAGGAGCCCGGGTGCACCTAAGCTAGGAGAGGATTGCTAGCCGACTGGGGCTCGCCAAAGTCCGCCTGCTTGGGAGCCAAGCCCGCTCGGGTCCCCAGCTCTTGAGCTGGGGCTGTGAGAACCAAGCCGGAGTTCCAGCCTAGCGTTCCCGGGGGAGCTGCCAGGTGTAAGTATTAAAGGGCTAGCCGTGGACACTAGCTGCGGGCCGGCGATTGCAACAAGTTCTCCCTCCCAAGACGTTTGTGCTATTGCCGCCGATGCCTCTGTGTGTGTATATTATCTTTGGCCTTGAGCTTCTCCGGGATGTCATCTCTGAGGTTCGTCCTTAGCATTTGGTGGGGCTTGCACTTATCTGTTGGCGCTGGGTACCTATTTACCTCAGTCTCGACCCGGCAGGAGAAAGGAGAGCCAAGCTGAAGGCGTTGTCCCTAAAGCCCTCACCATCAGTGGAAGAGTTAGCCCTCAGAAGCCCTAGCCCTTATGCGTTCTCTCCCACTGGTACTTTATTATTTATAGCCAAGATATAGATTACTAGGGTGTTCGTTATAACGTGAGGGATGAGGTTGCTGTACTCCTTTGGGGTCACTACGTTTCTTCTCCCTGGGCGATAACCTCTAAGGGTTTGCTGAGAGCCCCCACCTTAGCGCAAACTTTCTAGAGTTTTTCTCTAGGAAGAAGTCACTACCTGCACTTGATCTGCTTTTCCCTGTGCAGATCATGGTAGCTGATGGCTCAACTTGTGCTTGGATTAGAATTGCAGGGGATAGGATATTTCGATCTTCAGTATTTTTTTGCAGATGATAACAAGCTTCCACTGCTCTTCTCAGGGGTGTCTAGAAACTCTCCGCCTAGAAGAGTGTTAGCCCTTAGAAAATTTTCGGTTTTTTTTTTAAAGGTTAATCTCGTTCGCAGGAAGAAACTCATCCGCACTATTTCGAATTTGCTCTTACCGACTCTAAATTTGGGGGTTGATCCTTGTCTGTGGTAGAAGTGAGGAAAAATCTTTGAGGATCCCATTTCCCAGCAGTGAGTGTCTGGAACTGGTCTCCGCCCCATCCCCTCAAGTCAATTCTTATGGAACCTAAAATATGGCCCATAGACAATCTTGGATAATGCCCTCCTAACAAACTAAAGTTAAGTCTATTTACCGTAGTGGTGAATTACTCAGACTTGTATACAGAGGCATAAAATACGGGCTGTTATGGATTTTTCTGAAGTTGAGAGTGAGAAGAAACTTTGCTTTAAATAATTCTCCAACTAAGATCTTGGTTAAGGTCTTTTAAGCGTTCTCCCTTTCTTCCTTGAAAAATAATTCAACTAAAAGAAGGGAGGTTGAATCTGTGGGTGAATCGAAAAAGTAAGCTGGAGGAATTTTTGATGAGTAAGCTTAAAAATTACTAACGAGGAAAAGTCTTCAAAAGATTAAGTGAAGCAACAGATAGCTTTGGCGATCTACCTGAAGGCCCTTTAAAACCTGCAGGGCTGTTGTTTGACATTAAATTAAAGCTTCCAAACCTTTCTTTTGACCCTTCGTTATTATTTAATCTGCCCCCCCCCCGCACTACTCCCTCCTCTTAGGTCCTAGAATGAAGAATTAACACAGGTGCCTGGAAACAAAAGAGGAATTGACCTGAGCTTACAACTCACCCAGCGGAATCCAACTTGGGGGTGGGACAGCTAGGAAAATCAAGAAAAACTTTTTTCTTTTAAAGAAATAGAGTACTATTGATGAATCATCCCAGATTGCCAAACCACCAGTCTTTTTCATTTAAATACAGTAAAAGTCAGTCAGAGGCCATTCTGGCTTTGCCTGTGCTTGTAGGTAGGTGATCTTGAGGCTTTGTGTTTGAGAGGTGGATCTGTGCCTGTTGTGTACACAGATAAGGAGACCTGCCTGTTTGTTGGAATACATTTGGGTTGTTTCCTTTCTTGGAATGTTTTGTATGAGTCCTATTTATCTTGGGAATGCTTCTTGAGGCCATTTTTATGGGAGAGAATGATAAGAGCTAATATGTGCCTCTTTACAAATATTTTCATTTGATCCTCATGATTTTCTAAGGAAACCAGTTAAGTGATTTAACCGACAGACAGTAAATATCAGAACTGGGATTCAACCTATGTAGCTGGCCTAATTCCAGGGTTTTCCCCCTGTGCCAAGCTACCTCTCAGAAGTTAAGTGATTCATCCAGGGTCATTCTGTAAGCTAAGGGCACCATCCAGGGCTCTGGACACAGAGTGCACTGTGGTTTACGTTTAGACTTTCTGTCAGTCTTCTGTTGGTGCTGTGGTGGACAGAGCACTGAATTTGAAATTAGAGGACCTTAGTTCCAATGTTGACTCTACTAGTCACTATTACTGCCACCACCAATCAGTCTGCAAGAATTTGTTTACTGTATGCTAAATGCTGGGATTATAAAGGAAGGCAAAAATAATCCCTGCCCTCGAAAAAGCTTGTGTTCTAATGAGGGAGACAGTGTAAATTAATAGGTACTGCTAAGATACATTCAGAGTGTATGGAAGGTAGCTTTATAGTGGTAGCCCAGGAAAAGCCTCCTATGGAAGGATTCAAAGAGGTGGAAGTGATGAAGGAAAGTATTCCAGAGATGGGGGACAGCCAGAGGAAAGAGACAGATGACACAAAATAACAAGTAGAGTAGGGTGGCTGGATCTTGGGGTCTATGGAGAGGGATCCAAGAAGATAGGGAAGAGATCTGGCTGTGAAGAGCTTTAAATGCTGAAGTCCTGGAGAGTCAGGAGAGACTTTTTGTATGGAGACTGTTGGTAAAACTACTGCAGTAGTGCAGGTGAGAGATGATGAGAACCTGATGTAGGGTGGAAGGCTTTGTGAGGGGAAAAAGGCGTTACGTACCACAGATGATGTGAAGGTAGAAACAAGACTTAGCAAATGATTGGTATTATCCGGTGAGTGAGAATGAGGAGTAGAGGATGACATTAAGGTTTCAGGTCTGGGTGAATGGGAACATGTCGGTGCCCCTATTAGTAAGAGGGAAATTTGGAAGAAGGTAGGATTTCTGGTCTTCAATTTATCCATCTGCAAAGAGACTTTTGTCCTAAGTGATTTAGTGGGTCCCTTCAAGCTCATAAGAGACTTTTTGACTTGCTCTATCCTTGCCATTGGATACACAGAATTAGAGCTGAATGGGGTGGAGAAGGGGGAACAGGAAAAGAAAATTCCCCTGAGTACCTGGCATGACTTAGCTCTAAGAACGTTGAAGGAGTGAAATGAATGGAAAGGCTATGTGACTCACTGAATTTCTGAGGCTCAGAGGCAGCCCAGTGGTGATGTTGAAACTTGTTCAGTCAGTCCTGAGACACAGCCAGTTTGGGGACAGGGGGAGCTTCTGAGATTCTCAACTCCCCAGATCTTTTGAAAAACTTCATTTTTACTCAGAAATTAAGACTGATTTCTTGTTCTCTCTCACCGTACGTGTCTAGTCAATTATCGAATCTTGTCCTCTGTCTCTACAAAAAATCTGGCATATGTCCCCTCCCCAGTACTCACACAGACAACTCCCTAGTTCGAGCTCTCCTTACCTCTCTCCTGGCTTAATAGCAATAACCTCGTTTCACTTGACCTTCCTGCCTCAAATTTCTCCTTACAGTTAATCCTCCACACTGTTACCAAAGTGATTTTCTTAAAGTAGACCCACACACCCACCACACAACATGCTGCTGTTGTCCCATATTGCCCCAAGGCTCAAATATAAATTCTGTTTGACATTTAAAGTCTTTCTCCACCTTTCTATCTTCCTACCATTCTAGCCTTCTAACGTTTCCTTAGACTCGGCATTTCAGCCACACAGACTTGTGCTTTGCCTGTCCTCCATGCCTGGAATAGATTTCCTCCTCACCTCTGTCTCCTTCAAGACTCAGGTCAAATGGCACAGTCTTCATCAAGTTTTTCTGGTCTCCCCAGCTGCTACCTTGTATTTATTTTATTAATAGTAGTAATAATTACAGCTAGCATTTATGTAGCAGTTTAAAATTCACAATTCATTTTACCTGTGTTAACTCATCAGATCCTCAAAACAACCCTACGACAGATAGACAGGTGCTATTATTATCTCCACTTTAATGTTCAGGAAAGCAAGGCAGAGGAAGGTTGAGTGACTTTCTCAGGGTTTACACAGTTAATAAATGTCTGAGGCATGATTTGAACTCGAGTCTTAACTAACTCCAAATCCTGTGCTTTATCCACTGTGCCATTCAGCTACCTAAGTGGTGTATTTTACATATATTCTGTATATACTCATATCTCTCACTTAGAATCTAAACTCTTTGAGGGAGGGACTGTTTCCTTTTCCCCTTTGCCTCCCCAGAACAAAACTCTTCCTTCACAAGAAACATGTGAAGTAGTGCAATTAGGATCATCCCTTTTTTACAGATGAGAAAACTGAGGCTGAGAGAGATTTCCCTGTGGACACTCAGCTAGTAAAGGGTCAGGTAGGGTCTTGGAGGTCGATTCTAAGGCTTCAGCTGTACAAATATAAGCTATTGGTAGAATCATTTCCACATAGCACTGGAAGTCTGATGGTTCCACAAAGGTTAAGGCCAGGGTGAGCAGCATCTAACCTTTCTCTACTTGCTCCTTCCAAAAAACCCATACCAAAACAGATGGCTCCCACCAAACACTGCTCAGTTCTGATTATAGATAGGGACCACGGTGACACTGACCCAAGTTCTCCCCAGTTCACTGGATCACTGAGGCTGAATCAGGCCTGGGTTGAACCCAAACCCTTGCCTAAGGTGGCTGAATGAGTCAGTGACAGTGGCAATTCAAGATCAGCCCTTGACTCCTCAAGTTGCTTTATAGCCCCTTTGAATCATGCTGTATTTCC